GTGTGTGTGTGTGTGTGTGTGAAGTCCTCACAAAGATAGCAAGATGTATGTGTGTGTCTTTCTCCTTTTCTCTGTGTTCCTGTTTTTTGCATAAAAAAAGGCTGGGATATTAAAACATGGTAATTTTATTTAATGTAAAAAAGATCTGATTAATATATAAATAAAAACAGAATATGAAGAACTAGATAAAATATATATATTTTAAGAAATGGCTGAAAGAAGAAATCCTGTGTGGCAGCACTTCACTCAGCCTGCACCAGACAAGGCTCAGTTAATAAATGTTTCTTTTTGGTTTAAATTGAGATCTGTGTAACATTTCTTATTGTTATTTTTATCATGTTAATGGAGGAAGAAAAAGCGGTATCAGCTTCAAGAATTGGCCAAAAAAAATTCAGCTGCACGTATCGGCGTATCGTTTAGACTGATGTCAAAATAATCGGTATCAGTATCGGTCTTCAAAAACCTGTATCGGTTGATCTCTAATGGGGACCAATGCTCGGTCCCCACGGGTCCATATGCAAAAATACAGGTGGGGGGGTTAGGTTTAGAACAAAGGTGTGAATTGAGGTTAGGTTAGTTTTAGGGTCAGGTAGGTACCTGTGAGGGTAATTTTGGGGTAAATGGTCAGGGTTAGGATATAAAATTTAAAAAAAAAATGAATGGAAGTCAATACACGGTCCCCACGAGGATACACAAACCAGACCAGTGTGTGTGTGTGTGTGTGTGTGTGTGTGTGTGTGTGTGTGGCAGGTACTCACGCATGGTCTACAGGCCAGAAGTTGATTAAAGTGACAGGACTGCAAAACAAACAAGCAAGCAAATAAAAAATTAGAAAAGGTGACACCAGACGGGAAGGACATGAGGCAGTGAAGCATGATGGGAGTTGTAGTTTGGCTGTGAAAGGAGTGGGTAGAAGCACTGATCAAAGAAATGGAAAACTATGATAAACAATGAGYGTTCTCTCTTATAAATGTTCTTCTCATATGGAAATGACTAACCAGGTTAACCAGTTTGTTAAAAAAATGCAACTACCAGCAAAAAGCTACTTCTCTTTATAATCAGCGTCGCACATAAATAAATGTTTGGTCTGGTTCTCAGGGGAGAAGCTAGACGTTGTTTGCTCCTCATATTTTCCTTCACTCATTTAAAGGGATCCCCGATTAGTTGTAAAATTGGACTTTATATGATAAACATATACTTTAACTGTAAAATAAAAACTGTAAAAATACTGTAGGATGTTTAGTTTTTATCATTTTTAAACTAAAAGTTTGAAAATATATTACACGGACGGGGCCATTTTATTTCCACACAAAGCATTCTGGGTAAATGATGATGTGGATAGGTCCTCGGTGAGAGGCTGCTAGCGAGCTATATCCACCCTGAAGGTTAATTTGGACAATATCTGATGATCGACTCTTTTAAATGAAACCAGAGAGCGTTGACAGAGAGGAGAGGGTCTCTAAATGCACACACACAGTTACTTCATTACACAATATTAATAATCACGTTTAAAGACAGACTGGGTGAAGAGTTCACCTCTGATTATCAATATCATCCATAATGCCATATTAATTGAATTTAACTATGTGTAACACTGAGTTTATATTAAGAAACATCAGCAATATGATATGACATGTTTAGTGTTTTCATGTTTTCATTGAAGGATTCAACTAATTAAATTTTAAATTTTTACTTCTAGCATACAAAGCTGTCAACAAACAAGCTCCATCATATATTAAACATCTTATTGTTCCATATTTTCCTAACAGAGCACTTCACTCTCAGACTGCAGG